TTCAACCCATATTATCCAATAACCCTGACCCAATCACTTCCACAACCTCTTATGCTTCCCAAGTTACCCCAACCTACTCCTCATACCATTCTGACCAATCATCTCATTCTCCAGACACCCCCCGAATCTCCCCAGAGCTAGATAATTTCATTACCCTCCAACAACAACCCTACCACCTTAATACCCCAACCATAAACCAAATCTCCTCCACTATAAATTCATCCAACCCCCCTACCCCTACACTCTCTTCAGATTATACTGAATCATTAACACCGTCATCCACATCCACTATATCTTCACTCAACACTAATAGAGCTTATCGCACTTTTAAAAGAAAGTTCCCCAACCATCCTTTCCCAGCAAAACCAGGAACAGCCCGTGAATACATCAACCACCCCAAGCATACTAACACAAAAGAATTTTTAGCCATCACCTTACCCTCATTCCCACAATACACCTTAAACACCCCTCACGACACTAACGAAACACGCAACTTTGTAGATGAATACGTTTTAATGCCCACTCTCTCTTGGACCTCATACTATCATTTCACTAACCCTCTTTGCTTACCTTTATCTAGCACTCACATCGATATAGAACGAAATAAGGACATGCTATATCGACTAACTACACCACTAACCCCTAGACAATTTACTTATGTTGGATATAAGAAATCACTAAAAATACACACTGCACCTAGAGCTAATGAATAAACACTAGAATACTACGATCACAACATCATCAGAGCTAACCAAGATCAATTCCTAGACGACGATCGCTTCGCTAATACACAAATCACCGAGAAATTTTTCATCAAGACACCATATGTATTTACGCTAAACATCTTCGACCGTAAATATGACCACATTATTTCAGAAGCACTAACAGACACACAAGCATACGAAAGTTTTAAAGAACGCTTCCAAATATTTTCACTAACCTTTCATTTCCTTGCACCACACGAAAGAGATTTGCACTGCTCACACGATATTATGTTGCGCACTAAACAAACCCACACATACAGTTATTATCGTTTCATCCAAAATCACTTTGACCTACACACACCCTCTAGACAACCACACCATCGTTTTCAATTCATTAATTCAAAATACACTTCACCATATTTCCTAAATTTCACATATTGTATTAAAGACACTAACCTCCATGGTATTCTTCGTAATTATGACCCCATAACCCAAATGTACATCTTCTGTCCCATCATCAAGACCTTCAACGCCGACGAAAACCGACCCTTCCTTATCCCGCACGAGTTTGTACAACCTATAGAAATCCCAATATTAGAATTCATCCACAACACTAAATTTAATCACAAATTATATAACTTAATCCAAAACACACCTTATGAGTTTGCAGTTGGCACTGAAGAACTAACCACCATTAAGGCACTTCAATTGCTTTGGCCACTACTTCAGACTAAAAACATCATCCGCATTTTAGCTAAACTACTAACAACTTCGGATCTAATTCACGACATTTTCCCCCACGGTTTTTTCCCCGACGACTAACAGGTAAGTATGAATTAAATGAATATTACTAACTAATTACAATATTAAAAACTCACCATTCTTTATCCATGTTTTCTTTTGATTTTTAGCTTTCATCCGACAATCACCTACAAAAACCACAAAAGACAAATAAAAATCGCAAATTTCATCAAACAATTTTAAAATTCTATTAATCAATTACACTTATAAAATTATACATTTAATACCAATGCAGTAAATTCATCTATAAAATTTTCCCCCCAAGCAGTAAATCTAATTATAATGATAATTTGTAACTTAATATTCCCCCATGACTAGCAGTAAATTTCCAAATTCTATGTAGTAAATTAAATAAATGCAAATGCAGTACTAACCTTTTGATATTTTCATTCATTCGCACAGAAATTCTATCCACACTCGCACAGCTCGCCCACGAAGAATTGTTTAAAATAATGAATTTCAGTTTCAAGCTTTCACACCCAATAACTCTAACATAAAATAACATGTTTCAAACTTTCCTTTAACCCGGTTGGAAAGGAATCATATACTAAACAAAACTAACCAACGCAGCTTACTAAATACCACAAATCATAGAATAACAGCATGACTAAGAAAAGGAAACCAACGGTACCCAAACCGGATTAACCCAGTTTAAAACTGGATAATTTATTCTTTTGAAGACTATTATAAAGTCTCAGAAAGAAATAATAAAACACAAAAAAGTCGAAAGACAAACCCATACCACAAACAATTTGATTTTTGGAAAAAGGACATAACCAACAAGACATAAGAAAGACCACAACAAACCCAACATAAAACGTTGTCACATAACAGGACCTCTCACAAACACCGCATGCAATCATACTCCCACTCCTGGCCTAACCCACCAGAAGAGGACGTCCTGAGCATGCTCTATAGCCGGCCTAACCCACCGCGCTACATCCACGCTTTGTGACCACACTCCTATTTTTAATAAGAGCTACTCAAGGGTGAGTAACTCTTCAAAATAACCAAACTAAAACAAAAAGCTTTTGTGAAAACAACTAACTAAAATCATGATTAAAAAATATTAAACTAATAAAAGTTTTATAAAATGTAAATTACATGATGCAATACATAGATCAGAATATAACACCAAGGACGAACATCAAAAGACAAGACGACCCCACCACACTCGAGAGAGAATGACCAACTACAATCAATATGCCGCTCACAATCACAACTCAAAGGATTTAGAGTACGACTTGACCTCGCAGAAAAGGACTTCATTGAACTAGACCAATGACCACCTCGATGTTCAAGTATACGTACAGATCCGAGTAACCAGGCATCCCCTCCACGCACAATCTCCACGCCATTCCCAAGCTAGATCAGACACAAAAGAAGTTCTCCTCGAAGAACAGAAAAACCTGACATAGCCAACCATTCTGAAATCAGAATTGATTTTGTTGCAGAGACTCATTCGTTGTCACAAAAAGAACACAACGTCTTATGTCCCTAACTCCAGCTTCCTGGAACTTCTTTAACAAAGAAGAAGCGGAAGAAAATTATGATGTTCGCCAAATACCAACGTCCATCATCCATCTTTTGAATTACAGAAGAACTGTTCTAAAAAACTCTGTAAAACCCGGATGGGTGGAACCTGATCTAAACTACATTTTATGATTGGATAAATTAGATATTTTACCAATGTAAAGTATTTAATATTAACCAATCATGATCCATCAAACTAACAACCCACTTATTTGTAAGTGCTGAAGTTACTTGTAATTTCAGCACCAGAGAGATTTGAATTTAACTTAGAAATTAGTTGCACTCTCCCGAGTACTTCAGCAGCCGCAATAAACCAGTATACCCTAGATCTATTGAGCCTAGCAGAGACTAGTTAAACAACCTGAGACTAGATAGTATAAGAGTAAGATTAGGATCGGTATTAGACTAAGAAGTTGCACGAATCTATCCGGCCGAAAATAAGATAGCGTGACGAGCAGACGGTGTACCCTATCCGAAATTACTCTATGAGTTATACACTCCAGTCCTAACTCACATGGATGAAGTTGAACAACAAAATTTTAATGATTAGATATTCAACATTTCCACCACCCCTCCCCCCTTGAGTGAGCGAAATATAATATGGATCAGATTTTGTTTTTCCACCTTATTTCGACTACCATAAAAAAATTGGTTGGATTTCAAGTGTGCTGTAATGATAACTTTTTACTGGTGATAATTTTATTTCAAAAAAAGTCAAAAAATTTTCAGGAAAAACTGGCCTGAACGTTTCTGTGTCAGAATAAATTAGAAAAAAATGATGATAGGCTGGCCGCCGCACTAAAATCTCAACCTTGTTTGAGTAATTCCACCTCTTATTATTATTTTTAGCTCCACCATATCATTCCGACACTGAATCCACTTTCTAGGTTCTGGAAAAGAGGAAAAAAAGATGTTTAAAAAATTTGTGTCGAGAAAAAACTGCATGTGTTTTGAATCTCCGGGGATAAATTTTGGAGGCAGAGACTGCTTATTTTATGAGGGCATCACCCGAGCATCAAATTTAGGAAGTAGCAAGGTTATTTGTGAAGGCCAAATATGTTTGTCAGGGCCTAATTAGTCCGCATGTAAATTTTCGTAACCATCAGAATCTTAAATAGAAAGTTTATATGGAAAAATGTGCAGGTTTTAGAGATAAAAAAGATCCGAATTACGCAGATAAGACTGCAAATTTTGCCAAAACTTTGGAAAAAAAATTCTACAGATTAGTATCAACTCTAGAGGATTTTTACTGGGTTATAATCAATTTAAATTCCCGAAAACAAAGAATTATAATAGCTTTCAATCCTTTGCGTGGTCGCAAAGTGTCATTATAACTGATTATAATGAAAAACAAAATTCGATACATTACTTGGTTATAACCGATAATGATCCATGGAACCTCATAGCATGCCTTTGAGTCTGAAAAGTTCAAACACATTTTTTTGTTGATCAATTTGTTCAAAACTTTCTTGAGTCGAATACAGTCAAAAGCGTTTCTCAATTTGTCGCCTTGGCCGATACTTTCGAATTCATACTCCTTGTTGAAGTTATTTTTTTTGCAAAATTTTATTCTGAAAAGCAGAGTCAACTCTTACCTCAAACTGTACCCGTTTTTTTAGTGCACAGTTTACATTGAGATTCTACCTCGTTAGTGGTACGCTATTTCATGTTCACGAAGAAAGACAAACTCAGAATAAAATTGTTTTTACAAAAATTAAAGCTGATTTTCCAGCACCGACACTAGTCTCACTGGTTTCCTTCATCGCCAGCAGAGCTCAAACTGAGTTTGAAAACTGATTTGGAAATAAAGTAAATTTTACATTGATTAATATTTGGTTGCTCAAATTAAATTAAACTAAGTTTATATATATATATATATATATATATATATATATATATATATATATATATATATATATATATACTGAAAAGTAAAAAAAAATATTAACTCAAAATACTCTAGGCAATTAATGGCAGCTTGAAATAAGAAAATGTTCTGTTTCTTTGCGACTTTATTATACTTCATCCAAAGCTGGATCCCTTAGATATCAGCTACGCGATGTGGCGATCTAAAACAAAGAAAAAACAAAAACATTTTAATCTTTGTTGAAATTAACTTGTTTTAATTACCCGGGCTGACGTCCATAGAAGAAAATTGCTTATCATACAGTTTCATATATGAAGTCTATGGACAAAACGCTTATCATACAAAATTCGTACAAAAATTCAAAACTTGTTAATGAACATTTTTGGTCTATTTGCCTCTTTTGAAGCTTTCTGGTCATTGAAAAAATAATTAACATTACGAGGAGGACAAACTGTGCACTGGATAGGCGCACAATTTTGTGTCTGTATGTTCCTGGATTCCGGCGACAATTCTGTAAACATGTTAAAATTTTGTCGGAACAATCAAAGTAAATGAAGGAACAAAAGAAGAACAATGGGAGCGTCTTTGTTGCGGAATCCTTTTACAATGCACAAAATGCACAGTTTGGCCTCGTAATGAAAAATTTTCAAAAAAAGTGCTTGTCATACAATTCTCATATATGAAAATTATCAGACACTCATTTTGTCATAGAAAAAATAAAATTTTCAAAAATCTCTAAAAACGTGTCTGGGTAACTTGAAAATATTTATATCTAAGAAAGAAGGCATTTTGACAATCGAAAAAATAACTTTAATTTCGGTCGGAAAAAATGTTTATCATAAAGTTCTCTTAATGAAAAATTGTATGATATGCATTGTTTATAAACAAAAACACGAGTTTGAGGTAAAAACTGTTTTATTATTTTTTTTTCGGTTGCAAACTTGCTTTTGTACGTAGTCCAGGATGAGTTTTTCACCCAAATAATCCAAAACTTGCAATTTTTTTTTATAATTTTGATTATGATTTTTTTGTTTCATTTGTTAAGATAAAAGTAAATTTGCTAAAAACAGGCCTTTTTTCTCAACCACCAAATTTTTCAAAGCAAAAATTATCTAGCCATATACAAAAAGTTTTATTTTTGGTATATAAATCTATGTGATGTTGTTAAAATTAACTTAAATGGCCAAAATCACCAAATGCAGTTCATCTGCGTGGTAATGCCATTCACACTCTGGGTTTTCTTAAGACAAAAAATCCGTGGTTAGTCTTTCGGATGAAACACAAAATTTAAAAACAAAAATTTTTTGAATTTTTTTTTGGAAAAAATGCTTATCATACAATTTCATAGTATGGAAAAAATGCTTATCATGCTATTTTCTTACACTTTTGGGGATAAGAAGACTGATGAAAAAACTCAAATTATATTTGCAGAGTATGGAAAAAAGCTTATTATAAAATTTTAAAGTATTTAAAATTGCTTATGCTATTTTCATGCACTTAATTTTACTCAATGAAATTGTATGAAAGAGTATGATAAGCATTTTTTTCATTTATGAAAATTGTATGATACGCATTTTTTTATCAACCCGGGTAATTGTTGAGGTACAAAGTTTTGATTTTTGCTTGTCACGATGGTACTCAAGCATTTATGCAGTAACGGATTTAGGGGGCAGGGAGTTGCGGATTCGACCTCGTTGCCACCCAAAAGGTCCCTTTTGCGACTATTTTGCGACCTATTATTTTTGGCTGACCGACCTGATGTACTTTCTAAAGGTGCCTTGGGCAAAAAATTGTTCTTATTTTGAGGATCAAGGGCTGAAGTGATTTGGGACAGCTTTTCATAGTGGCTAAGAAGAGCTCGGAAAATCATTTTGGTTGACCTAAAAAACTTATGAGGTCGACAAAACTTATGAGAAGAAAAGCTAAGAGTCTTGCTAAGAAACATATATTGACTTTTTAGTATCTCGGCAAACTATTACCGCCACAAAAACAGGAAAAAGAGCGTCGTTCGCCCGGGAGGTCGGGGGTCATAATAATTTTCTTCACTTTCTTAGGCCAAGCAAATCAAGTTGTAAAGAGCCTTTCGAGGAGTTTAACAAAATAGTTGCATTCTGAAGTCGCGTTTCAAAAATAAACGTTTTAGGTTTGCAGTTTGTTAGCGTTATGAAATTGGGCGACATATCTTACTTACCAACTACAAAACTTTCCTCCTAAAAAGCGTATTGGGTGTCTTTTAGCTTATTCGAGTCCATGATGATTTTGTTATTACGTGCATGGCCGTCAGTCAAACTCTTTGCTTCTTCCAAAACCATTTCTAAAGTATGCATTTTAAAAATATTTTTTTTGTTCCAAATCTCGATAAAAGTATGGGAATATATTCTTTAAAGATATCTAATAAGTTGATATTTAATTAACTGCTAAACTGAATAGAATAAGTTTGTAAAAATTAGTCAATGATGAAAAAATTACATGAACCCTCAAATTATATGAAAAAACTCAAATTTGCTTAGAGCACCCCCTAAAAAGGAAACTTGAATCTTAAACCAAATTGGCCGGCTGCTGAACGACTAGCACACATTTTTCGAATTTTAAAAAAAAAACTAGTAGCATAATGTGCTATTCCGTTTTCAGCTATTAAAATCAAGCTCTAAGTGAGCTCATTTATGGTGAAAACTGTTAAAAACGTTTTGAGGCTGGATGTACTGAAATTTACTGGGAAAACAGGACGAAGTTCAGTCTTGAAAGAAAAAAACTGTTCAGACTAGCTTTTCTCAACACAGTTATTTACAGAATGTCTCTTTATCTTGAGATTTAAATCAAGTTACGGACCATATTATGATATCACACTCAGAGTGTTTTACGATTAAGCTCGTTAAAAGTACTCTCAGTAGAATAAACTAGCGTTTAAGAAAAATGATTTTTCAGTTATACAGATGTCCATTTTTCATTAACAATAGCTGGAAAATAAAAACTGATAAGCAAAGCAGTGTCTCAAAAAGACAGTCTGAATTAATTTGAACGCAATTTGAAAATGGTATAACACACCAACAGAGGTAAAAGTTTCCTAAGCTTTGGGCTAAATCAACCTCATCAATTTTCAGTTCTGTAAAAATAGTCTATAAAAGATGGGTAAAATAAGTCAAGGTGAAAAACACTGGAGCAAACCTCGTTGATCATATTTTATATATTAACCATTTAAGCAATTTTTACTACTTGCCAGAAGTATATATTGGTTGGAAAACTAAGTTGCTGTCGAAAAAGCGAAGATCAGATAGCTCACCAGAGTTTTTGTTCTCTACTTTTGAGTATTTAGAACGAAATCCAATATCCTGGTAGCAGAAACCCTTGTCAGTGCACGTAGTTCCTCCGCGGCATTCCCAAGGCTCACTGCATGAAATGCCCTCACAAAGAGAGTCTTCACAATTCATGAAAAACGGACACTCCTGAGCTGAACTGCATGCTATCTTCTCACACCTTCCCCCAACGCATTCGGCCAAGTTTTTCTCGCAATCACCTCTGAAAGAACACTGTTGCTTCTTCACACAAGTTCCCATTATGCACATTATGTCGTCGCCTGGACATTGTTTCTCTGTTATACATTTTTTGCCCGCTGCATCGGGACTGGTTGTTTCCTTCGAGGGTACAGAAGCAGTTGATGTCGCAGCAGTGGTTGTCGCAGCAGTGGTTGACGCAGCAGTTGTTGTCGCAGCAGTTGTTGACGCAGCAGTTGTTGTCGCAGCAGTGGTTGACGCAGCAGTTGTTGTCGCAGCAGTTGTTGTCGCAGCAGTGGTTGTCGCAGCAGTGGTTGACTCAGCAGTTGTTGTCGCAGCAGTGGTTGACGCAGCAGTGGTTGACGCAGCAGTTGTTGTCGCAACAGTGGTTGGCGCAGCAGTTGTTGCCGCAGCAGTGGTTGACACAGCAGTTGCTGTCGCAGCAGTGGTTGACGCAGCAGTAGTTGACGCAGCAGTGGTTGACACAGCAGTTCTTGTCTCAGTGGTTGTTGGTTCAACGGTTGTTGGCTCAGCGGTTGTTGACTTAGTTGTTGTTGTCTCAGCTATTGTTGGCTCAGTGGTCGTTGGCTCAGCTGTTGTGGGCTCAGCGGTTGTTGGTTCAGCTGTGGTTGGCTCAACTGTTGTTGATGCAACCGTTGTTGGCTCAGCGGTAGTTGGCACCTCAGTGGTTGGCGCAGCTGTGATTGGCTCAGCGGTTGTTGGCTCAGCGGTTGTTGGCACAGCTGTTGTGGGCTCAGCTGTTGTAGACTCGGCTGTTGTTGGCTCAACTGTTGTTGGCTCAGCTGTTGTTGACTCAGCTGTTGTTGGCTTAGGTGTTGTTGGCTCAGCTGTTGTTGGCTCAGCTGTTGTTGGCTCAGCGGTTGTAGACTCGGCTGTTGTAGACTCGGCTGTTGTAGACTGGGATGTTGTTGGCTCAGCTGTTGTAGACTCAGCTGTTGTTGGCTCAGCTGCTGTTGGCTCAGATGTTGTTGACTCAGCTGTTGTTGGCTCCGGTGTTGTTGGCTCAGCGGTTGTTGGCTCAGCTGTTGTTGGCTCAACTGTTGTGGGCTCAGCTGTTGTAGTCTTAGCTGTTGTTGGCTCAGCTGTTGTAGACTCGGCTGTTGTTGGCTCAGCTGTTGTTGGCTCAGCTGTTGTAGACTCGGCTGTTGTTGGCTCAGCTGTTGTTGGCTCAGCTGTTGTTGGCTCAGCTGTTGTAGTATTAGCTGTTGTTGGCTCAGCTGTTGTAGACTCGGCTGTTGTTGGCTCAGCTGTTGTTGGCTCAGCTGTTGTTGGCTCAGCTGTTGTTGGCTCGGCTGTTGTGGGCTCAGCTGTTGTAGTCTTAGCTGTTGTTGGCTCAGCTGTTGTAGACTCGGCTGTTGTTAGCTCAGCTGTTGTTGGCTCAGCTGTTGTTGGCTTAGCTGTTGTTGACTCAGCTGTTGTTGGTTGAACTGTTGTGGGCTCAGCTGTTGTAGTCTTAGCTGTTGTTGGCTCAGCTGTTGTAGACTCGGTTGTTGTTGGCTCAGCTGTTGTTGGCTCTGCTGTTGTTGGCTCAGCTGTTGTTGGCTCGGCTGTTGTTGGTTCAGCTGTTGTTGGCTCAGCGGTTGTTGGAACAACAGTTGTCGTTGGATTATCTGTTGTAGGCTCGGTGGTTGTCTCATTTGTTGATGTCGCTGTTGTCACTTCTTTGCTATCCTCGTTTTTCGATCCAGATTCGTTTTCATTCTCAGATGTTTCCCAATTATCGTTCGTCGGTTTTTTACAGTGGCTGTTGTCACACAAGTAGGACCTGGGACATTGAAAGTCAAACACGCAAAACACTCCGCCTTCTCTTGGGTTGTAGAACTGACAGGTTGCTATCAGAACAGACGACGCTAGAACAACTGCGTGGAGGCAAACCTAAATTAAAAATTTTCAATCTTTAACTTTGTCTGACATTAAGTTTATACGGATCCGGATCCGGGAAAAATTAAATAAACAAGTATTCTAAGATACCCTCAGTTAGAAAAAAAAACGTTTCGCATAGCGTTGTTTTTGCTTAAACTATAAAAACTGTCAAGAAAACTTTATTTCAAACATGATAATTAAATAAATTAATTTAATCATGTTCAGCCTTTTTTAATGTTCTAAAAACAAAAAAACAGCTCTCAAAACAACCCAAACGTTTTTGTGTTTGAAATCTTGGTCTTTTTCCTATTTTTCCTTTTAAAACTTTTTTTACTAACAAAAAATAATCTGCAGGCAATAGTTAGTTAGCTCATCATGCCAAATTTCTTTTACCTTTAAGTAATTTTTCAAAGTTGAATTTTAAACGCTGGGGGGTGGGTTTCAAAGAGCTAAATATTCGTTGCAAACAAATTCTCAGTTGTGTTACACGAGATTTAATTGTAAAACATTTATAGGTACTCGTTTGCTGCGTTTCCGTTTAATTTTTACGCAAATAAATTTCGTTCGTCTTCCTGGGCTGCTTATGTGATTTTAAAAAAGAAACACAGAGCAACTTTATAATAAAACCTAGCTCCATCAGGAATTTACATGAGATCAACCTATAAAATAATTCAGAATTGGATACGCAAATATTTCAGTTGATTATTGAAATGCGAGACTTTTTTGGTGCGTTTTGCTTATGTTATTTTTCTCTGAAACTATAGGACGAGCAAAATTCACGGCTTTTCTGGGTAAAACACCCCAACCTAAAAACAAAAGTTTACAAACCCAACGCAGTAAATTTTCTTTTCAGTGCTGTACAAAACGCCCGAAATTGCAAAATTTTTTGTTGGCTTTTAGAAACAAAACAGTAAGCTTTTAAAAGTCATTTTAAAAATTTTTTGTTTGTCTCCAAGCAGTTGCTTGTAAGTTGTCCAAAGCTGCATTTAAAGAAAATTTTCATGAAATTACAGATTGTTTGTGAAAATTTAAACCTAGGCCGAGTTTCTCGACTTTTGTTTCGAGCCGGTGCATTTTTTTGCGACCAAAAGTCCGCTGTCGATTAGCAAAATTAGCTAGCACAAAACTGATTTTGATCAAGAAAATTATAAAATATGTCAAGCACAGTCGAAAAAAGTTTAAAAAGTAAGAAAATAAATCAAGCATAGTATAAAAATTAGGTGGAGAACACCTTAATTATTTAATTTTGTTCAAATCTTTTATGGAAGATTTTGTCCATTTCAACTAGAAACGTGCAAAAAACGTGCTCAAACAAGATTTAGTACTATTTTTTGAGGAAGTTGGCGTTGTAAAAACGAAATTTGATTTGAAAAAAGCACAATTTTGTATTTACTTTTTTAGTGAGTTAGATCACTTGTTTTCAGTTCAAACATCATCTGTGAAATTCATTTAAAATCTTTTATTAAATATAGATTCTTTCAAGTAAGTAATTCATGATAAATTTTAGACGAAAATCAAGAAAACCAATACATAGGTCGAGCAAATTAAACTCAGAGGTTGAGCAAATCATAATTTAAAAAAAATAAACAGATCCCCAAAATTTATTCAGCGTGGTCAAAATTGCATGAAAAAAGTCAAAAAAGGTTGTTAAACAAAAAGGTCAACAACCATTTTGTGGTCAACACCTATCCGACATCGGTCAAAAGGTTCAAGCATATCAAACTCGAGTCGAACACAGTCGAGCGAGTTTTATTTCTCGGTTGTGAAGTAAAACTCGCAACATACCAAACTTCGACCGAGACTGTCGAGTTTACCGAAGAATGATCAAGACAGTTAAAACAACAAACTTTGGCCAAAAAGTTCTTATCATAAGTCGAGCACCTCGGCCAGTTAAATGTCTCAAGCAGATCGCAAAACATTTCAGCTTTGCTCAGTTTTTCACTTTTGTCAGTCGTCAAAAAAGGCTGTTTCGGCTAGATCATTATAATCGGGCAGTGAAAGTGAAAACATTTTATAAGTTCTGAGAAAAAACCAAAGGTTATACAAATTACCGGATATAAACAATTATTTAACAGAAGCTCAATTTGTGTTTAGGTGCTCGAACAAGAGCTGGTATGTTTTGATCGTATCGACCAAAAATTAACATATTTCAATTTTTCCACCAAATTTTGGTGTTAGATTTTCATACTTTACAGCGCAACATCACGCATTTAGCCGTAATAACACATAAAACAAACATATGACTCGGTTTTTTGAAAGGGGGAACTGGAAAAGAGCCCAATTCAATTGTGATTTGACTATTTCAAATAAAATGAGATGCCTAATGATTTTCTCAACTCTCTAGATTACAAAAATTTGAACTTAATTTTGAGCTTAGTTTGTTATCAAGTAATTTGACGATACGGCAAGTTTATAAGCCCATTATAGTCTGGTTACAGAAAAACTTCCCGAGCTCAATTGATTCGTCACTGACTTCTTAAGTCAGAACAGCGAAGTCCTTTCAACCAGGAGGAAGCGCTGAGTGAATGGTTCCTTAAAGACTTTAAAGTAATTTTACATTTAAAAAAATTTGTGGTCAATTTGAAAAAAAAAATTGAAAAGTAAACTTCTTTAAATCACGCAATACACAATCGAAAAGTTAAATCTAGCATCTAAAAACATACAACAAATCACATAGCAACTCCTGGACACTTTTGAAAGTATTTTGTGTTGGCATTTTTTGCCTCTAATGCGCAATACGTTGAGAAAACTGCAGAAAGTAAAAATTAAAACAAATATACCGGGTTATTTTGCAATTTGTACCTGTTTTGCACCTTTGCAAGAAATCAATCTGCCAAAACTTCATTTTAGTTTAGATTCTGGGTTAAGTATGATTTTCAATTAGTTGTTCCTTTGTTTGATCCAGTTATTGGTTTCTAGTTTTCTGTTGTTTTGTGACGGTTTGTCATTGCCTCAAAAAAGGTTTATACTTTACTCTGGGACCATAAGTAGGCCTCCTTCTCTTACCAGTCCTGTATATGATTAGCAATATTGATGTGTTAGCTAGATGCACAAAAAATACATTCTGAACATTTTTGCAATATGCATCTGTTTAAAGTTTGCAAGCAAACATTTTGTCAAAAATTCCATATCTTAATTTTCAGATTGACTGTATGTTTCAATCCAAATCGATATCAGGTTTCGGCACAGTTCGACTTTATTTTTCGAGTCAGCTGTACCACACAGTTGTGCGAGACTATGGATTTTTGGTCACGCAATGACATCTGGTTTGACCACTTCAGTCAAAACATATACTCAAAACCTCGCCCTGAGTATGTTTTGACTGTGCTCGACCTACTTGTAGACTATATGCTCGACCTATTTGTAGGCTGTGCTCGAACTTGGGTTCGACTCTGCTTGACCTGTGTTTCGACTACGCTCCACTTACATTTCGATTTTCTCGACCTAATCAGGTATATTTAGACTGTGCTCGACTTATATTTTGACTGTGCTTTGCCTATGGTTCGACTGTACCCGACCTGACCTATAATTCGACTACGCTTGATTAAGTTTTCGCCGTGCGCGAATGTTTCGACTGTGTGCGACCTATGATTTGACTTTCTCGAGCGAAACCGGGTGTTTCGACAGTGCCCGACTTTTGTTTTGGCTCTGCTCGACCGAAATTGGGTATATTGGGTATATTGGGATAATTGGGTTTTCGCCGTGCGCGAATGTTTCGACTGTGTGCGACCTATGATATGACTTTCTCGAGCGAAACCGGGTGTTTCGACAGTGCCCGACTTTTGTTTTGGCTCTGCTCGACCGAAATTGGGTATATTTTGACTTTGTGCTGGACTGACAATTGTTTATCGACCGAGTAATTTCAGTCAAAAAACTGCACTAGCTTGATTTTCAAAGTCGAAAAATAAGTCGAGCTCCTCGATCCGGGCTGATGAAATTTAGAGTTTTTGAACATTAAAATCTCAATTCAAGTGACAGTTGTCAACAGTCAATAGTTGCTTTAAAGTTCTAACGATCTTTTTTGGTGGTCAAAATTGATTTTCTGAGCTCGATCAAATCGGTAGGAAGACTCTGTTTGCGCCACAGGCGAGTTTTTGAAACAACAGGCCAAAAAAGGCGTTTTGAGAATTTGCTAGACAGTTTTGACCGAAAAAATGTTTTGGCAACGAAATATTTCAGTATATTTTGGCACCGAAGCTTATAGTCGATAAGTCAAAAATGGATGTCTTTAATAGAACCAGCGGAGTTGAAATCACCTTTGGGTCGTCAGGGTTGAAATCACTGAAGGAAGGCATCGGAATTTTTATTAATTTATCAAAAAACGTGGTTGCTTCTAACGATAGATTACAGAATTGATCTTGACTCTTACAAAAAGTAGCACTTTTGATGATTAGCCGTAAAGAACCATCAGGGTCGTTTAACAGTGAAAGGTTGTGCTTACCATGGGTACTCGTTTTATCTATACTCTAAATGAAGATGAAAATTCAAGTAAAATGTTCTCTTTGACGCAAGAAGGAAATTACTGGCATAAGTTTTACAAAATAACAAAAAAATAATAAAATCTGAGCTGCAAATTTTAATGAACAAATTATAGCAAAATATTTTGATCTGAATTGGAGTATCAAAGCGGGTAAAGTAAAGCGGGATAAAAATTTGAAAAGCGGGGTAATCTTTCGCAGTAAATCACGAACTTAATTTGGCGATTTTGCTTCCCTCCATATCATTTGCAATCGTGGTGATATTTGTGGTAAAACAAGGATAGTTATGAAGACTTAATATGTTTGGAACAAAAACCTTTAACCATCATGGGCTCTTTTTCCTTTTCCCCCCACCTGCAAATTTTTACATGCAAACTTGTGGATCACTTTGTCCGATTGTTATGAAAATTCACATACAGAATAATAAGGCCACGACAAACATATGTGGTCTTCATACTCAACCTCGTAAAACAACTCGTTACACTATTATATTGAAGCTCGTGTGAGGTGGGGGGGGGGGAGGAAAAAGAGCCCCATCATGTTAATTAGGTCATGACAAACATATTTGGTCTTTATATATAACCTTAAAAAACTCCTCGCTCAACCATAAAAGTACTGTTTCTATGAAGGGGGGGGGGGCACTGTCTCAGAGATGTAGTGCACCTGAGGGGAGTGAGGGGGGGGGACTCGCCTACAGAGCAGAAAGTGTTGCCGATATAGGGTCTTTAATGTGACTTAGGAGGACTCGGAATACCAGTTTGTCGATCTAAAAAATCGACAAAATATGGAATCTTTTTTTTGAAAATTCCCTACCCCCTCGAGAAAATCTTAGATGCACTATTAGATCCACACAATCTTAGAGTAGAGAGAGCCATAGAAGATTGTTTTTTACGAAGGATAAATGCGTGATGTTTAGAAGAAATATAATCATTATAATTTGTTTTTAAACAAGTTCATAACGCACACAAATTTAGAACTAAGGGATTCTTCTAGAAAAAACACGCGATAAGACTGAATCTAGCCTATTTTCAAGCGTCCAAGAGCGATAAACAAAACCATTTGCTTGGGTTCTCTTGAAGTAAAAAGCAATTTAGTAGAAGAGCCCAACGTGCTCAAAGAATATAAAAAATGGGAAATGCGGAAAAACATAGAAAGAGGCCCTTTCAGACTCACTATAATTTAGCTATTAAAGTTTCTTCTTATCAGGTGACCTTCATTATTATAGTAACCTAAAATTTGGTGGTTGAAACGGTTTATTTCTTGGTTGTTGAAAATTTTACCAAAACTAAAATTTATAAAAACATTAAATGATTCTCTGGAGCTCTCAATATTTTGGATGTAATTTCTCTTTACAATGGAGCAGCTCTCCAAATATATTTTGTAAAAAGTTAGATTAGTTTTCACTCCATTTTACTATTGACAAGTATATGATTCGAGCAGACTAATTTGTGAAGGTTGCTGCGCTTTTCTTTAAAGTTGTCGTTTAAAATGAAGTGGGCCTATTAATGACTTCTTGGGACATCAAACTTTGTTGCTTCCACTTTTAATTTTTTCTCGAGCAGTACAAAAAGTGTTTTGCGCAGGTTAACTTTGGTTTTAGTAAATTTAAGATAGTACGCCATGCCCATCTGCCTCGCATTTGGCCAGCAAAATACCATGATTGATAGTATCAAAATCTTTTCCAAGATCTATGAACGTGCAATCGGTTAAAATTGAAGGATTTTGGAGGAGCTTGTTCGTTGTCCTGCTTACTATTTGAGCATGTCAAAACTGTGATCATCTTGTTCCAAATCAGGGGCGAATGAGAGTTGAAATGAGACTACAAAAATACGACGTGAAATGTAAAGATAATTTCTATTCAGAATAGTTCCTTGGTTTTTCTCAGTCGTTTGCAATTTTTTAAGCTTGAATTTCTCGAACAGAATTCATTTTAAAGTCATTTGTAATTTTATGATTCTTCTGAGGACGTTTCAGTATCCACAGGTGAACTTTTAATCTACAAGTTGCTGTATGAACAATTCTACTTTTTAGTACTCTAAGATGAGTGAAAGAAGACAGCTCTTATGTAGTCAAAGGGCTGATTTTTTCAACTGTCTTTTAAGATTTATGGAGTATTGTTTGCTCTAACAACCCATAACACCCCATAAATTTTTGATAACAAAAATTGTGATCACATGCGACTTTATTTTGTACAATTGAGCTCCAGATAACAAAACTATCAGATTGTATAAAAAACTTAAGCGCTAAGTTTGATCAGACTGAACAAATAAAAAAAAGTTCCCCTGACAAAAATTTATACTCAGTTTTTTCAAAAATGGGAACAATAAGAGTTTTTCTCCATCTAACAAACTGCACAGCAAAGTTAGCAGCCACTTATGTCGAAAGATGTAGTTTCCAACGTTGTCTGTAAATCCTCGTTTGTTGCAAGTAAAGCACAGAAGAAATGAAATTATCGTTCATTCATTCATTCATTCATTCATTCATTCATGGGTTTATTTTGACACCCTTTCTAGAATCAAAGGTGTTCTGTTCTTAGTAGAAATATTGTCGAAACAGGTGGGTTTTCAACTTTTTCCTGAATAGCAATTCATCCGATTCTGATTTAAGCACCTGCGTCAGACTGTTCCATAACTTCGGTCCTGCAAACGTGAAACATCTCTTTCCATATTTTGAATGCGCCATGGATAAACGTATGGTGGCATTCCTTCTGTTGATCGAAAATCGTTGTCTTATCGATATTGCTATGTCATCAAAGTATTGGGCCATTCTGTCATCATGAATTACTTTGTGGAGAAGAACTAGAGTCTTTAACTTGATACTCTGACAAACCTGCAGCCAATGCAGTTCATGTAGAAGGATCGTTGCCGACGTCTGCCGATGTGCCTGAAACACAAATCTGGCAGCGGCATCTTGTATTCGTTGTAATTTTTTAATCGTTTTGTCCGGTAAACCCAAAAACAGCGAATTACAGTGATCCAGTCGCGATAAAATAAGATTTTTCACAAGAATAACACGGTTATTAAAATCCAAATAGTAGCCAACGCTGTATAAGTTTCGCAGGACGAAGTAACATGTCTGCGTTACTTTGTTTATATGGGGAACCGCATTCCAGTTTTTATCAATAAGTACACCTAATGATTTCAATTCATTCAACACCCTAACTTCATATGAGCCAACAAAAAACGATTTGAGGTCCAGTTTATGGTTTGGTTTTGCGAGTGAAATAATTTCAGTTTTGTCGGGGTTTACCGCAAAACCAAATTTTTTGTAACAATCAAGCACGTTAATTATAATAGAGTGAACTTTCTCCTTGACACTGATAAAATCGTCGTTTTCTTTGAAGTTTGCAGCAACATAGAATAAGGTATCATCTGCATAAGATTGATAAGATACGTTAAGTTTAAGAAACACATCACGAAGAGGTAAAACATAGATGCAAAATAAAAGGGGTCCCAAGATCGACCCTTGGGGAACACCGTGTTCAATATTAACTTCGTCAGAGTAATGTGAATCAATGAAAACTTTTTGGCGACGGTTACTAAGATACAATCTAAACCATTTCAATATGTTATCAGAACGACCAATATAATTTTTCAGGATTCCAATCAAATAATCATGTCTAAGGGTATCAAACGCACTAGATAAAACAAGGCCAATCAATGTCAGGTAATTATTCATATCCAAAATTTTACATATATCATTAGATGTTTTCAACAATGCCGTTTCTGTCGAAGCTCCAAATCTGTATGCAGATTGATTATTATCCAGGAGACCCGAAACCATAACATGCTCAACAAGCTGACTGTCTATAAGTTTTTCAAATAACTTCGAAAGAAACACAAGATTTGAAATTGGTCTGTACGATGAAAGCTGTTTCGGATCGAGATTTTCTTTCTTCAGAGTTGGAATTATCACTGCTTCTTTAAGTTCATCGGGGAAGTTACCGATTTCAATGTAAAGGTTTAAAATTTACAGGATATGCGGTCCCCAGTAGCTCCATAACTTTTTAAAAATAACTGTTCGAATTAAATCATGAAGATCAGTTGCATTTGACATTGATAGCACAGCCTGATGCAAATCATCAAGTTTAATATAGCTGAAACTTTCCATTAAAACTACAGGTGTAGCCCTATGCGAATTTTCTAACATATCCATACTGAGAGTTTCAGTACACTGCTTCGGTTTTATTTCCTATAAGTTTATCAAGGGCTCTAAATTTCTTAGAATCGGTTCGAATAACCTCATTTTTCTTCCGGAAAAATTCGCGTTTCTTAGCCGCAAAGCAGTTTCTCATTTCCCTATCAAACTCTTCAAAATCATCAAAAACTATTTTCTTCTTTCTATACATTCGTTCTAACTTTCGTCGTTTACTTCTCATAAAAAAAGTTCAGAATCGAAGAAATCACACTCCCGAATGAGTTTATTGCGCTTTTTGATAGGCGCCATGAAGTCCGTGATCGTTTCCACGGTTTGATTAAAAACAGTTAGTAATTTCATCTTAGTTTGTATGAAAAGAATCTGCACCGTAAATTTAATAAAGTGATTGTCTGACTTATCAAAAGGATAAACTGAAACGTCCTGTGGCTTGTTATTCTCGAATGATATAACCAAGTCGAGAATGTTGCCTTTATTGTGCGTTGGTTCATGTACAGATTGCTACAAACCATATTCTTTCAATAAGTCTTCAAGTAGGAAAAATTTATTGTCCCTTTTATTAAAGTGAACGTTAAAATCACCGAAGCAAAGAAAAAAAATGGCAGTTCGGTAGCAATTCAGAAAAAAAATTACATAATTCAGTGATAAAATTGTTGAAGTTCGCCGAAGGAGGCCGATAGACTAGCCTTAAGAGTCCATTAGAACCTAAGTTATTAAAAGTGAATAAGGCTGCTTCTAAATAATCGAAGCAAATATGGCGAACTAAAGATATACAAAAAGACTGGTGGGCGATTAAAACCAGTCCGCCACCACTTCTATTTTCACGCGGACAATTAAAATACATGAAGCCGGTTGGGCAGATTTGCCTAATGAGATAACTTTCATTTGATGTATTCCAGGTTTCAACGATGCCAAATATATGTAGATTATTAGAAAAAATGATATGAGAATGAGCTGTAACTTTCCGTCTAATAGATCGTATGTTGAGAATTCCGATTTCCATCTTTGTTTGTCAGTCAGAGGGCTTTTTCAATGACTTCAACCAACTTTTTGCCTCTTCATTCAAGAAAAATCTGTTAACAATGGTGTTCTGTGGCCTAAAATCCGGCGAGTCAATTAATTCCGATTTTTCACCAGCAAAAATAACGTGAAAGCTCCTCAGAGTATGATCTTCTTTAGTTATTTCCCGCATGTGTAATACCTCTGCTCCACTATTTTCGCAATACTGTTTGACTTCTGTGGGACCATATTCTTTTGATACCCGGCCCAGGTAAATGTGGCGTCTAGGAGGAGGCTTACTCACGCCTTGAAAAGTGCCATTCTGGTTGGCTGCAGTAATATGAGTTTTCTTCCTCTGACCAGATTCAGTAGCGCTGAATTTTCATTTGTTCAGATTGGTATCAGCATTATTTTTGTTCAATTCTGAGTTAGCATGATTTATGCTAGTTTCATCAAATACTGAATCTCTCCGTACCTTTGCAGGTTGATATGATGTTGTCCCAGAGTTCCGCCTTGCCGAAAAAATACTAGCTGCAAAGCTTTTAGGCTTCAAATATCCAATTTCAATTTCCAATTTATCCAATCGTTGAGCGGAATAATTAACACCACTAAGTTTATTATCCAATGAATTCAGTAAAGAAAAAGGCCACTTAGCTTCGGTAATGTGCCACAGCTGTCGCAGGTCCAAGTTAGTTTCCCGCATGCAGCCGAAGAAATATCCACACCCAGACAGACACAATGTATCACAGCAGCACAGAGAGCACATGTTATCACATCATCTTGTGATCCAGTAGAGCATTGAATACATTTGAGTAATGTGGGTTGTTGCAAGTCTTTGTCACTCATCATTTAGCATTCAATTCTATTTAATAAGTTTATCACAACAATTAGGCTAATTATCTTTGAATGCTTCTGTGGAGTTCTATCTTGGGAGCTTTTAAACTGTTTTTATTTGAATCATCTGCAACTCTATTATGCAAAACTCATAATTTGTTTTGACTTTTATGTGAAAACTGGCTTTCAATCAAAAATTTTCCACAATAAACTCATAATATTAATCTGTTTGCAAACGATATCTAGTTACAGAATTCCTTATAAAAATTTACGAATACAAGTTGGAATTGTATGGTAGAGCACCATTATGCCAGCGAGGCTGTTTTCTGGTGTCTCATTGAGCGAAAAAAAACCGCAAACGTTCTACTGGCAAACGTTCTAAGAGCCAATAACACCCCATAATTTTTTGATAACAAAAGTTGTGATCACATGCGACTTTATTTTGTACAATTGAGCTCCAGATAACAAAACTAACAGATTGTATAAAAAACTTTAGCGCTAAGTTTGATTAGACTGAAAAATAAAAAAGTTCCCCCAGATGAATTTTTTTTCACCAGTTTTTCAAAAATCGGAACAATAAGAGTTTTTCTTCATCTAAGCAAACTGCACAGCAAAATTAGCAGCCAAATATGACGAAAAATATAGTTTCCAACGTTGCCTGTAAACATTAATTAAACGTAACCCTCTTTATTTCCTTTTTTCATCCTTTTTCTTAAAAAAATATATTTTCATCGGATAGTCTTTTCTACTCATAATTTAGAAACCAACAGAAACAAATTCTGTATAATCAGAAAAAAATCAAAACATGCCAACAAAAAAACGTTTCCTAAAATGTAATCAACCAAAAATTTATGATTAAAATTATTCAATTGAGTCAGAGAAGCTCTTTCAAAAAACTGGCCCAGGCGGGAAACATTTTAAAACAACTTAAACATTTTTCGAACGTTAGGTCTAATCGACCCTCTGCTGAGTTTATTTTTATTTATATTGTGCTTACCTCTTATTCAGTTTTCAGTTAGGACATATTTCAACGGATCATCTCGGCAATCTTCTCGAACAATTTTTCTGGTGAATTTCAAACTTTAGAAAATTTTTTTTGTGGGTTATATTTCGTTTTCATATTTCATGCATTATTCAGTAATTGAATCCATCCTGCGGTTATGAAAAGCTATTGTTTTAATAGGTCTTGCTGATCCATTTTTTCAAACTCAACAGAGTACTAAGATACGTAGTTGTTCTAATTTTATTTAGGAAATTCAAAAATATAAGCCAATTTCTTCTTCTTTTTTTGCGAATTAAATGATATATCAAACTTCGCTCAATATAATGTTTGTTTGTAAATTCTTCTTCAATTTTATTTGAGAAGTACAGATGTTGGAAAAGATTAGATTGTGTTTATATCTAATTTATGTTATTGCACAACATTAACTTCTACGTTGCCTCCTGGTTAGTAATTTGTTCTTAGAAAAAATTGCTGTACTTTAAAAATTTTCTAGTCTGTTGAAAATTTTAAAGCCAAAGCCTAACTAACAGAATAAAAGGAGTCGGTTTTTACTTGATAAACCAGGTTTTTGTTTGAGGTAATTGAAATCTGGAACGATTCATTTCAATTGATGACAAGGTTGTTGTGCAAGCTGTTGTTTTATTATGTCTAGCTCTTCGAAGTTTGATTTTTGATATCAACCATAAAGATACATTCGAAAACTGCAAAATAATTCAAATATGTTTTCAAGTATTTTTGAATCATGTGATTGCAAAGTGAATGACCTTTTATTTGTCTTTTTTTTTGTATGGGTAATATGCTTAGCTAACAATCAAACATCTTCCTTAATGAAAGCTGTCTGAGTTGGATTTTTTTAACAAAATTTCAAAATTGAGAGTAAAAAAATAAAATGTTCTTTTTGGTCGCTATAAAAGCTTTCTAAACAAAAAAATTCAAAAACATTTAGCTCTTTTGGATGCAAAAACTTTTGTTATAACATAATTCCACGAGTTTCTTTTTTACGCGCAAAACAAAACTAGTGTGAAAGTTTTCTGTGTTCTCCGCAAAATTCAATCTTAGATTTTAGATAAAACATCAAATTCTAAATATGTCGAAAAATCGACCACAGTTTTAATTATTGAAGTTTTTGAAATAAAGGTCTATTGCAATATTAAAAAATATAATTTTTTTTCAAGATAAGGAAAGGAAATCAGAGGTTTCCTCACTTGGCATATTTCAAGTTGTAGCCTAAACTATACTTTTGGCCTAAACTAAAATTTTGGCTTTTTGTGTTTCAGGGCAAGACTCAACTCAACAAAAACAAAAACAACAGAAAAATCCAATTTCTGGATAAATAACTTGCCATAGATTTTTGTTTGTGGAAACATGGCTAGTTAGTAATTTCATTATTAGAATTTATATCAGTCATACGATCATATCGAAAGAAAAAAAATCATTCTATTTTTGTACAGTTTTTTTTCTATGGAATACTATGGAGCATAATTTTTGGTAATGATAACTTTATTTCTAGTATTTTTTCTTAACCCGGGTATATATCATAAAAGTTGCGCAGCATCAGTCTATGTTATGATAACTTCTAAAACTTTAGGGAGTGTGTACAGGCAGTAATTAAATGCAGAAACGCTCTCCGGATTGTAATTGACTGATTTATGTGACTTGTTTGATGAACGTTGATCAAACTCTTATTGTGTATTATTTCAATTATTTCAAAGTTACTCGAAAAAAGCTACTATTTCCTTTTTCTTTTGATTTCAAAATCAAAGCAATTAAAGTTTTTCAAAACAATCAGTTTGGAAACCGAAAAAAGCAACATTTTCCCAGCAAAACAAATGAAATACATGCATAGCTATAAATTTCAGTTCACACAAGTTTTCAATCGAAAACCAAGTGGCGGCTGAATTTTTTTTTTCAAATGCAGAATCTTTTGTTGGGTATGTATTGCAATTTTTGCAGTGCAAATGAGTGGAAAGTGATGCATTCTTCTTGCAAAATTAAATATAAAGTAAGCAAGAATCTTGCAATAATAGTGCACATCTTTCATAAACATTGCAGGAAAAACAATTTTTTTTTGCTTTTCGAGAACAATGGTGTTGACATCCCGGTCATGAATTTATCTGAAAATACATCTGCATTTTTGTCGCCAAGCGCGTTTTTTGTTAGATTACAATAAATGGGAGATTGAATTTTTTCTTTTTGAGTTTTTATCATTTTCGTGAAAAGCCATTAGAAAAATATAGCAATACTGATAATTCGTAACAGGCTTGGAAACGTGTCAAACGTTTAAAATTTCAAGTTGACCACTCAGATAAAAATACAAGCTTCTAATTAAAAATCAGTTTTTTGATATTCATTATAAAGTTTACATGAAAAATTGATTTTTTTTTGCTGGCACGACACTCATTTGCCTGGTAAAACTAATTCAGCATACTTTCTATTGTTATTAGCGTATTTTTCTAGGCTCTTTTTCCTCCCCCGCCCCCACCTCACGCTAACATGAATTTTATGGTCTAACAAGTAGTTCTACAAGGTTAATTATGAAGACCAAACATGGTTGTCAAGGCCCAATTAGTTTGCATGTCATTTTTCATGACAATCGGAAAAAGTGAACAGTAACTTCAAATATAAAAAACTGCAGGTGGGGTTGAAAAAGAAAAAGAGCCTTTTTTGACCTGTTATACTATATGATTGATTAAAACTGTAAGTCCCTAAAAATGAATATGATCCAAGGAATGCTAATAAAAATTTGACAAAAAAATCTGGAAAGAATATTGAAGAGATTTACGTTTAACTTTCAAAGATAAGATGAAATGTTTTTTTTGTTGAGTTTTTTTTCTTCAGTCACGTTTGGAACCGTCTAAAACTGAAATTATGTCACAAGTTCAAAAAAAAATAATTTATCAAGGCTTGAAAATTGTTAAGCTGTTCAATTTGGAACAACTAGCGCGCAATGTAATTAAATTAGTTAAGTCATTTTAACGCGTAAATAGCAAATTTGTCCTTTCGTTCCAAACTCTTTTATGGTGAGTTGCTTGGATTAAAATATAATAGGCGAAAACAGCATATCTTTAAAGTGACATATCACTCGACGTAATGCGATGACTTTTTTTAGTACCTGATTTTAGGTGCACAACAAAAAAAGGAAAGAAAGAATAAAAAGTTTCTCCCCAATGTCAACTGTCGGCTCTTTTCCAGTTCCCCCTTTCAAAATAACGAGTTTTATGTTTGTTTTACGTGTTATTACGGCTAAACGCGTGATGTTACGCTGCAAAGTTTGAAGAACAAATCTGTTCACAGCTGCCGATTTGTTCACTCAGCCAAATTTCATTGCATTATGACAACGTTAAATAGACTTTTCAAAATTGAATTTGAAAGTGGGGGGGGGGGGGGGGTGAGAAACTGGAAAAGAGCCCAATTGTCGAAGCAAAAAGCCACAATTAGACATGAATCATCTAAATATTCTACTCTCTCACAGGTTGGTAACAAAAATAACAAAAGAAAGTTTCAATCAACAGTTGAATTAGAGAGCAACAGAAGATTAGAAATATATCTTCCAATTATATGATTTTTTCTAACGATATTTTCATGTTTTTCTAGTAATTTTCCTTCAAAAATTGTTGTCCAATTTTAAAGACTGTGGTCGGAACATTCTATGCTTTTTGCACATTAATCGGCAACCCTTGTTTCCTTTCCCCTATTAAAGAAAGCCAATTTTGAAGAACCGAAAGCAAGCGCCCCTGGATTTTATTTGCACTAGTAAAAAAAATAAGTTTTTGAGAAGTAGACGGCGGCGGTGGGGGGATCGGGAGGAGTTGATTATATAAATGAGCCCTAACTCTAATGACATTGATGCTCCTTGCCTTTCATTCACTCAATAAAACAATCAATTGTTACAATAGGAATACTTAAATTACAAAGCGAAATTTTAACCTGTCATAAGTACTTTCAAAAAAATACTCATAACCATATTTAATTACATAAACTTGAGTCAAAAGTATGCACAAAAACAGCAGATAAAAATACACAAAAACATGGTTTTTAATTGTTATGCATGAAATTCAAATGAAGTTTATAAAAATATGAATTAACAGAAACCGTAACAACTTGTTGAACAAAAGATTAAATTATAATAGCGCCCAAAAACTTCGATGACGAAAATGTGGATTGTAATGATTCCTTTTTCTAACCCTTACTGTTTTCCATTAGAAAAAACTTCGGTGCTCAAATCATCGGCTCTTTTCCAGTCCCCCTTTCAAAATACCAAGTTTTCTGTTTGTCTTACGTGTTATTACGGCTAAATGCGTGATGCTATGCTGTAAAGTTTGAAGAACAAATCTGTTCACAGTTGTCGATTAGTTCACCACGCCAAATTTCATTGCATTATGACAACGTTAAATAAAAATTTCAAAATTGAATTTGAAAGGAGGAACTGGAAAAGAGCCCTGAAATCTTTAAAAATACCTTCAATAAATTACTGCTCTCTTGTATAAGCTTGCCATGACTCATAAATGGAGTTGATTTTGCCAGATGTGTTTAGCATACTTCCATTTTGCCTCTCTTGTTTGGCCTCCGTTCTCTCACACACACTGCATTCTATAGGTACAAAGACAATCGGCTCAATTGTCATGGGGGTGTCTGTTGTCGTCGTGGAAGTAGTCGTGGTTGTTGGCTTCGAGGTCGTTGTCGGTTCTGTGGTTGACGTTGTCGGTTCCGTTGTTGTCGTTGTCGACTCAGTTGTTGTCGATGACATAGTCGTTGCTGTTGTCGGTTCAGTTGTTGTTGTTGTCATTGTGGCCTCAGTTGTCGCCGTTGTCGTTGTCGGTTCAGTTGTTGTTGTAGGTTTTGTTGTCGGTGTGGTTGTCGACTCGGTTGTTGTCGTTGTGGCATTCATTTCCGAGATGTCGTCGCATATATCACAATTAATTTCAGGCGGCTTCTGAGTTGTTTTCTTGCTATGAACTGTAGTCTCGTAGTTTACTTGAACCTCATTTTCTGAACCTCCATTTCTCTCTTTCGTTTCTTGTTTGTTGCACTTGTTAAACTTGTCGCAGCTGGTCGCTCGGGGACATTGGAAGTCGAACATGCAAAACATACCCCTTGTATCAGTGTCATCGTGCAAACTGCGAGATGTATGTAGAAACATCATCCAATTTAGGAGGAAAATAGCAAAAACCTAAAACACAAGCTCAACATAACTAAATTAGAAAGCCCCTTTTTTGCATCCTTTCGTTTTCCATTTTTTTCTCCCAGCCTTGTAAGAGAATATTTTGAAAAGAGAGCTTTTTTCCACCACCCCACCATAGAGCCCCCCCCCCCCCCCACACACACCCACACACATCACATAAGCATCATTTTAATGGTGAAACGAGAAGTTTTTACAAGATTGAACATGCAGACCAAATAAGTTTGTCATGGCTTAATCAGTTTGCATGCCAACTTTCGTAACAATCGGATGTTGTGAACAACATTTCACTAGTAAAATTTTGCAGGTGGGGAGGGGGGAGGAAAAAGAGCCGAAAAGGGGAAATGAGAGATGTAAATATGAAGAGATTGATTTTTGTTCCAGGCGGTGTCTTCAAAATAGAACAACCTATACTTGTAAAGTTTTCAAAATTAGTTGAATTTTGATTGATTGTCAGACTGTTATTTGATACTTACATTACGAGCCATGTTTGGGGTTTTAACAAAACAATAAAAAGATCGCAGTCAGTTTTTTTTCGAAGCTAAACTATATAGCTGAGCGGGAAAAGTTGCCGCCTTTGAAAAATAAGCGGGAAAAAAATCAATTTTAAGCGAATCAACTAAGGATAAAGAAAACAGCAGTTTTTGATGATAAAAAATGGCTCTTTCCTATCATAAACGGGCACGGTACAAAAAATTCTCTTTAATACTACTGCAGGAAAATTATTAGGCTCTTTTCCAGTTCACCCTTTCATTTTTTCTGAAATTCATTACATGAAAGTCTTTTTAGAATAATTTTTAATGTTATAAACTGCATTAAAGCGTGTCAGCGTGAACAGCTGAACAAATTTTCATAACATTTCTAACATGCAAATTGCCGTGTGAACAATTTTTGAACATCTCTGTTTTGTAATTTAACAAGGGGGGAAACTGGAAAAGAGCCAATTATTAAATTTTTTAACTTTTCCAAAGCGGTTTTCTAAAATTGCGCACTTCACAAAATTATCAATTTTACGGAGCGATGACTGATTCAACTAGGCAGGATATGAGAACCACACGACTTAATTGATCATTTGGCGTTTTCACCTCTCATCCCCCGCCCCCTCATTTCAATTTGTGTTATTCGATAGATGTTTTAAAAGCAAATTTGACTAAGCGAGCTAAGTTATCATATGAGATATGCAGAGTAAATCTATTCAAATTTAGTAATTTGTTCAGCATGTTAAGTTTTGTTGTTCCGCTTTTTTGCATTTTGGCACTGCTTGAAAATATTTCCGAGGAGAAGGATTAAGTGGATACTGAGAAATCCAAATATTGTGCACTTAAAAGCCTTCCATGTGAAACAAGTAAAAAGTATGTCGAAAAAAATATCTCCAATTTAACCCGAGATTTTTCATAAATAGTTTCTTAAGTGTTTTTTGGAATATTTTTCAGTTCAACGTATTAGTTTTTTTGGCTCTTTTCCAGTCCCCCCTTGATATTTTCTGAAATTCAATCTGAAAATGAAGTGAAATTCAAGAAATATTTTTCAAATTGGGGCTCAGGACAACAATACCTTTCGAATGATTTAAAAACTCCGTCAAAAATGACCAGTCAAAAAGTCGAAATTTGTCTGAAGAAAAAAAAACCCACCCGAGCACAATTGTTCCGTTACTTTCGTATCGATAGTCGGAACAAAAACTAGACAGTTCGTCCCTTAAAAGCTTAAGTTAAAAAACACGTGAATAAAACTTTTTATCAAAATAAAACACTAGGATCACTAGGATATTCAAGCGAGTTTCTCTCGTGGCCTTTTCTCTTGGAAACAGGTGGAGATTTTCAGTATCTTAATTGAACAATTCTTCGTTCTTTGTCGGGTAAGTTCGTCCTTTGGCGCATGGAAATGTCCCATTTTAATTTTATTGTTTGATTAGGTCATCTTACTTTGATCAATGCTACACTCCTCAGTTTTGTCTGTAAGTTCCGTCTACTTAACAAATTGATTTCCTAGACAACTTCTAAGCAGTAGATGAGTAATTTTGAAACTAGGACTGGTTGAGCCTTCAATGATTTGGAGTTTTCACCCAGACTAACATAGAATTTTTTCAGCTTATTTTAAATTTAGAACCGCTGCTTGTATCTTACCTGCCGAAAACTGACCAACGAAAAGTTTTCGTTCGAGACATATTTTATAAATCTCTGTAAATTTAGGGGATGACTTCTCTAGTTTTTTTTTTCTCTATCTCTCTCTCTTTCTCTCTCTCTCTCTCTCTCTCTCTCTCTTAACGATACCGCAAAGTGGTTCCTTGAGTTGCGAATTCTGCGGCGTGACCGAGAATCACTAATATGTACAATCTCGAAAGGGTTAAAACGCTGCCATTTATTCTGATCTGTATTTTGTTGCCTGCCCCTTTTAGTCATTTTTCTTGTCGCTGCGTCGCTCTAATTCACATTCTCACTCGCAATAATTTCCAATATAAGTCCAAATACATTGGGCTCTGAATGGTAGCAATATAATTTAATATTTTAATCAAAAGTTAAGTGTTTATCCACACATTTGACTAATTCTAATTCAACTTTCACACAATTTAGCTAATTAATTCTCCTGCTCTCTAACTTTTGAAATCAACTGTCATCTGGTTAACTATGACAAACGACTTTATTCTGACTAAGCAATAACTGTTCTCTGAGTAAATGCAAGATTTAACCGTTACCTCTCACAGCGCAGTTGTTCTGCCTAAGGTAGACTACCCGTAACTTTTCCGCTATGTTTGAGCTTCAGTTATAGATCTAGTCATGATCGTCCCTACAAGTCCTGGCAGGTAAACTTGCTCATGGCGTTAAGCGGAGTTTTCCCTGAAGACATAATTTTTGAATTCCATATTCAATATAGGTATCCCAACTAAGTTGCGTATGTAGCAAGTCCAGTTTCACCTCCTATCTAAGTTAAATTCATTTAAACAACTTACCAAGTTGTTTGAATCACGTGCCCCAGTTCTGAATCAGGTCTTGAGCAGATCTGCTTTTGTGATGGAATCCATACCTGCCTCAGTCCTGATTCAGACATGTCCATGTCCAAACGAAACATGCACCATGTCTGGACAAGATCTGAAATAGGCAAGATTTTACGATGCTCAGATCTGGTTTCCAAGTTTTTGTAAGGTACGGGTACTGAGGTGAACTTATATTTCAACGCGCTTACAATCTCTACCTCTAAGATAGCGAGAACGGGTAGGAGTTTCAGGGGGTAGGGGTGGGTCGGTTGAGTGTACTCGCCAGTTGACGTTCGCACAACAACTGATCGAGCAACGCTGTTGCTGTCGTAGTGACCAGGTAATGACCACGGTGAGTGGCATCGTCTATTATCCACAAAAGTTTGTCATTATTTCGATCACATTCTGATGAAGTGTGCCTCTTAATACGTTTTTTGAGAGTCGCCACTTAGTCTCTGAGCCAACAGGTAAAACCGCTTCCCCATTTATCGCTTAAGTGATCAAAGTCAATATCTAATTTCAACGGCGGAAAACTCACGCAGATTTGCCCATAAAAAATAGTTCGTTGTCGACTCTTCGAGATCGTTGGCGTGAGGGTTAAACAATTTGTCTACAAGGCGAAACTTGATTTGGTGGACCTCCTCCGTTAGTTTTCTACCCCCTAAATTGTAGTAAAAAACTCTTTTCGCAGTGAGGAGACTAAACTCTCCCGAGCGCTACCGTGATGTGGATGCTGGGCTGTTTACTTCCAAGTTGCTCCTTTGTGAATTGTGAACGTATGAAGGACTCTCCATTTGTTCTTCCTTTGTTCTTTTGTTTTCTTCGATCGCTCCATAATTTTTTACTATGTTCGAAGACTTTGTCCCTGGATTCCCGAGACCTGCACACACAAAATTGTTCGCGTATTCCGCACAAAGTTTTCTTTGCTATGATTTTATAAACTTTTTTCGAACAAAAAACTTTTTCATCGACTAAAGACGACAGCCAAACATTCTAAGATTTGACCGAACTCGATCAATTTTGTTTTATATTTTGTTCATATCCACTAATATTCATGTTTTTAGTTGCTACTGTTTCAGTCACAAGTTTCAGTCAAAATGACGAGTGTTTTAAAGCAAGCAGAATATGCTAACCTTCTGAGAACATTGAAAACATTCATATCGGTTAACGATAGAATAACATGGCATACAAGGTTTGTGAATTACATGAAGAAGGAGAATTCATCAAAATAATTCTCACGGATCAGCAAATCATAATAACGTCTAAAATTTTACTAACATTTAATTGAGTCCGCAAACAATTCGCGCAGATCAATGAAACATCAAAAATAAAGTTAATCAAAAATAAAAATAATAAAAGTTTGAAATGCGAGGAAAGGTGTGAAAATGAATCTTTTTCATACCTTTCCCCGCATTTCAATTTTTTTTATTATCATAATTATTTTACTTGTTATTATGGCGCGATGTTATATATAAAGTGTGAAGCTTACATTTGTTAGTTTGTTCAAAGGCGAAGACTCGTTGCAATTTGACAACGCTGAAACATTTTTACAGTTTGGCAGGTCGTTAAGACCCAAAAAATTGTGCCTGTTGTAAACTGATTTCTTAATATAGCAAAAATCAAAATGATGCACGTCAGATTATTAAAACATTTTTCTTGTAAGCCTCCATGCAAATTGACAGCCGGATAGCTGAAAGGGCGATGATGATTTTGAAACAAAAGAAGACTGCTCGTATCAGGGCGAAGCCCTGAATGTTCCGACTGTCTTTAAAAGTTTAAGGAGCAGTAATGAGTTAAGTATGCTATTCTTATCTCATAGAGTAATTTCGGATAGGGTACACCGTCTGCTCGTCACACTATCTTATTTTCGGCCGGATAGATTCGTGCAACTTCTTAGTCTAATACCGATCCTAATCTTACTCTTATTACTACTAGTCTCAGGGTGTTTAACTAGTCTCTGCTAGGCTCAATAGATCTAGAGTATACTGGTATTGTTGAGGCTGCTGAAGTACTCGGGAGAGGCAACTATTTTCTAAGTTAAATTCAAATCTCTCTGGTGCTGAAATTACAAGTAATTTCAGCACTTACAAATAAGTGGGTAGTTAGTTAGATGGATTGTGATTGGTTAATATTAAATACTTTATAATGATTAAATGTCTAAATTATAAAAATAATGAAACATAGTTTAGATCAGGTTCCACCCATCCGGGGTTTACAGAATTGTTGAGTTTTATCTCTTTTCTTCTGCAATTGAAGGATGGATGATGAACGTTGGTATGTGGCGAACATCATTTTTTCCCTGTTTCCTCGAGAAGAGAGGTCCTTGACTAGAACCAATGTCTTAAGGAAGGTCCAGGACGCTGAAGTTAATCTTCTTTTATCGTTCAACAACGAATGTGATCCCCAATAAATGAAATCGTTTTAGATTCCAGAATCCAAAATGCTCTGCTATGTCATTTCTGCTTGCATTTGTGGAGGGTTGTTTGTGATCAACCTCGTCTGGGAATGGCGTGAAGTTCGTGTTTGGAAGGGATGCCTTGTTACTCGGATCTGTACGTATACTTGAACATCGAGGTGGTCATTGGTCTGGTTCAATGAGGTCCTTTGCTGCGAAGTCAAGTCGTACTCCAAATCCTTTGAGTTCTGATTGTGTGCGGCATGTCGGTTGTGGTTGGTAGCCATTCTTGTTCAGGTTGTGATGGGATCGTCTAGTCTTTGGATGTTCGTCTTTGCTGTTATGTGTGATCTATATACTGCATATTATGATTTACATATTATAATTTTCGTTAATTGTTTTTTAGTTATGATCTTGGTTAAATGTTTTCACAAAAGCTTTTTATTTTAGTTCAGTTATTTTGAAGATTTACTCACCCTTGAGTACCTTTTATTAAAAATAAAAGTGTGGTCACAAAGCGTGGTGTAGCCCTGTGGGTTAGGCCGACTATAGAGCATGCTCAGGACGTCCTCTCTGGTGGGTTAGGCCAGGAGTGGGAGTATGATTTCGTGCTGTTTCTTTGAGGGGTCCTGTTTTGTGTTAACATTATATGGTGGTTTTTTCTGGGCTTTCTTATGTTGTTTATGGTTGTGTCCTTTTTTCAAAAATCAAATTGTTTTTGGTATGGGTTTGTCTTTCGACTTTTTTGTGTTTTATTATTTCTTTCGTTGACTTTATAATAGTCTTCAAAAGAATAAATTATCCAGTATTAAGCTGGGTTAATCCGGTTCGGGTACCGTTGGTGTTCTTTTCTTATTCATGCTGTTATTTTATGATTTGTGGTGTTTAGTCATTTGCGTTGGTTAGTTTAAAATAGTGTATAACTCCATTCCAACCGGGTTAAAGGAAAGTTGGAAACTTGTTATCATTAGTTAGAGTTGTTGTTATTGAAAGCTTGAAACATAAAATCATTATTTCAAACAATTCTTCGTGGGCGAGCTGTGCAAATATGGATGGAATTCTTGTGCGAATGAATGAAAAGGTTAGTACTACTTTCACAGTTTATAAATTTACTGCTTGAATTTTAATTTTATTACATTTGGGGAAATTTGAAGTTATAAATTTTCATCGTATGTAAGTTTACTGCTTAGTGGGGAAAAATTTATATATTAATTTATTACATTTGTATGAATTTTAAGACATCGTATAGTGCAAATGGTTTAGATTATTAAAATTGTTTTAGCAAATAAGTTTAATGAATTGTAGTTTCTAAAAGTTTTATTTTTTTGTATTTTTTCATTTGCAGATGATGGTGATGAGAAGGCTAGAAAACTGAAATGGAACATTAAAAAGAATGGTTAGTAACTTTATATTTATTAGTGAATGTAATTGAAATATACTTATCTAATCTTCGGGGAAAAAGCCATGGGGGAAGAGGTCTTGGATTAGTTCAGATGATGTTAATAATTTAGCTAATATACGAATGATATTTTTAGTTTCTAGCAGTGGCCAAAACAATTGAAGTGCTTTGATGATATTTAGTTCTTCGGTGCGGGACGAGGAAGGGTCGGGTTTGTTTGTCCTGAAAAGTGTTGATGATGGGGCAAAATATATACATTTGGTGGACGGAGTCGTAATTACGGAGGATGCCGTGAAGGTTAGTATTTTTTATACAATAAGTGAAATTAAGAAAAAACGGTGATGTGTACTTTGAGTTGATGAATTGAAATTTAATTGAGTTGATGGTGGGGTTGTCGTGAGGGTGTATGTAAGTGAAAATGATTTTGTATAAAACGATAATACGTGTAAGTATGTGTTTGTTTAGTGCGTAACATAATATCGTGGGAGCAGTGCAGATCTCGTTCCTGTGGTGTAAAAAAGTGGAAGGTTAGTGTAAATAATTTAAATTTATCTTGGAAGCTTTGATAGGCTTGTGTGTCAATGAGGGCTTCGGAAATGATGTGATCGTGTTTTTTGTCAGCAATATTAAGTGTAAATAGATATGGTGTTGAGATGAAAAATTTTTCTGTTAGTTTGGGTTAGCAAAGCGGTCATCATCTAAAAATTGGTCTTGGTTAGGGCGTTTGATGTTGTGATCGTAATATTCAATAGTGAAGTCGTTAGCGCGAGGTGCGGTGAATTCTTTTAGTAGTTTTTTGAATCCTATATATGTGAATTGTCGTAGTGTTAGTGCTGTTGTTAGTCTGTATAGCATATCTTTACATTGTTCATTATCAGTTATGTTGTTATAAAGTGGTAGGTAAAGAGGGTTAGTATAGTGATAGTATGATGTCCAATGAAGTGTTGGCATTAAGACGTATTCGTCAACAACATTTCTGGTGTCATCATTAGTAGTAGGTGTATTCAATGTGTATTGAGGGAATGATGGTAGATTAGTTTGGAGAAATTGTTTAGTATTTTTATGTTTTGGATGATCAACACATTCTTTAGCTGTGCCTGGTCTGGTTGTGAATGGGTGATTTGGAATTTTCGTTTGAAAGTGCGATAAGCTCTGTTAGTGCTAGTGGATGTTTCTGTGGAGGTGAATGATTGGGCTAATGATTGGGTATAGTCTGATAGTGGTGTTGGTGTTGGTGGACCGGATGATGTTGTCATGGATGATAGGTGATTTATGGTAAGAGTATGGGGATGGATAATTTGTTGTTGGAGCGTAATATAATTTTCTAATTCGGGGGAGATTTGTGGGATATCGGGGGAGATTTGTGGGAATTGTTGGCTGATCGGTCAGAAAGGGATGAACTATATGTTGGCGTAACTTGGGATGCATGAGAGGGAGTGGAAAGGGATGGTAGTGGTTGACTGGCGTTGATGGGTCTAAAAGAGGGCTGTGAAAAGATTGAGGGGTTGTTTTGGGAGTAGGTGGAAGGAGAGGGTTCGGAGTCGGGAAATTCGTCGGGAGTTTCAAGGTCTGAATTGATAAATTGTGAAATTGTGTGAAAAACTGAAGCGTCTGAGTTAGTGTCCGAACTCGTGCTAGATGGTATGTTAATTACAAAATCAGGTGGGGGGAAAGCGAAAAGTGGTATAATTGGGACTGGGTTTTGGAAATTTTCTGGGTGGGAGTTTGAGCGGTGCAGGGATCCAAGTTGTCTGCTCATCGTGAGCTATAAAAATGATTTTTTTGAGATTGAAAAGTGGTGGTGTGGGGTTGTTCTATAATTTGTTCGTAATTACTATCATTTTGTGAATGATTTGTCGTTATATGTCGAATAGGGCTGTGTATTGAATGTGGTCGAAAATTGGGGTTATTTGTAATTGCTAGATTTCGAAAATTTCTGGGAACTAAAGATAAGGGTTGATTTTGTGGTAGGGCTGGTACTTGTGGTGCTGTTGGGACTATGTCTACATTGTTGTGTTCTTCGTCGTATGTATTTGGTCTTGTGGCTAGTTTTGTATTATATTCTTTGATTTGTGCGTCTAGAATTATTTTGTTTATGGATGATGAAAATATTATACGTGCTACACTTGCTTGGCGGTTAACTTGTGTGTGTATAGCGCATGTATTATAGATTCCTTTCAGTAGTGAGAAAAGAAATCCTATAAAAATAAACATAGCGTATAAAATAGTCAATCTTTCTAAGATGTAGTAGGGCCATCCTAGAAAAGCGAGTATTTCGTTTTTTAAGGTTAGAAAACTGAAATTATTTATGGGTGAAATATCCTGTGGTCTGTATTTTTCGCCGTGTAAATATTTATAGTCTTTAATGTCTTTAAAATATCCGCTGTAATCTTGAGTGTATATGTCTGCAAATCCTGCAGTTTCTGCAAGTTTTTTTCAGTTTTGATCGATTGGTTGTCTTTGTATAATATCCATTTGTGTGAGTAGTTCTTGGAATTTTTGTGTTCTAATATGGTATTGTATATCAGATTTAGAATAAATTCCAATGGATTGTAGATCTATATTTGGGTTTCGAGCAATGGCCCTTATGCTTTCTGGGGAAAACTTTTTAATGGTTGCATTAATGTAGGGTATGGTGTTAATAGGTAGTATTTATCTTCGTCAGGGTTTAGCTGTACTACATTGTGGCTATTTTCTGATCCACATGGGACTGCGGTGTCCCAAAAATATGTTCTTCTTGAGAGTGTGTCAACAAAATGTACTTTGTTTTTGTAGAATATGGGTATTCTTTAGTAACAACGTTTATCTTCAAAAACGGATAACGGTGATACTTTTTTGGTGCAAGTATAAAACATAAAATGTTTCCTTCATAATCAAGAAAATTTGATCTTTTTCCTGATAATAAATATCCTGCGTAGGGTATTTTTAATACTGCTAATGCAAGTGATTGTAATATTTGTGTTCTTTCTAATTCGCATAGTTGGTGTAGTGTTTCTAATTCAGAAAGTGACATTTCTTGAAAAATTCTACTAATTGTGTAGTCTAATTTCATATCTAAATGAATGTCATAATGTATGTTTCCAAAGTATGTTGTGTTCATAAATGATAATTCTTGTAATCGTGTACTTTGTCTGTCAATTGGTGTTAGTTTTCCACCTGGTGATTAACTTTAATTTTTCCAGTGGTCATGTCGAAACCTTGTTCGTAATGCAAGTATTTCGGAGTATTGTGTTTTGTAAAGTGGGTTTACATATTTACAAGCTAATTCTGTTCCTTGGTAGATTTGAAATTGTGTTAGTTTGTTTTCAATATTGTTTAAATTTTTGAAATCATTACTTCGTTTGTGATGTGTGTTCACTTGTCCGTATGGGATGGATTCAATGAAATATTTTTCATGAAATTTTATCATTTGAGCGTATATTTTTGCCATTTGAAATGTTGTGCATGTATCTTCGGGAAACCAAACAATTGTTGCTTGGGTTCTTGTTGTAGGATCGCAATATCCTTGATCATTTTTACAAGTTAATCGAATTCCTTGATAGATCATTGTGTTATCTTCTGAATCTCGTGTGAGTTGTACTTTTTCAAGTTGTATTTTCTAATCAAAAAACATTATTTCTTGATATCCTCTATTTTTTGTATCTGCTTTACAATTTGAGGGGTTGTTCATTCCAATGTGTGGTATCCAATGTTTATTGTCGGGATCATAAGTTAAACGTCCGTGTGCGCCCTTAAAGGGGTGTTTTTGTCTAATTTTATATATCCTTGATAGCGTTCAAATTCTGCTTGGTGAACAGAATCGCTGAAGACTTGGAAATGTACTATTTGACCTTCTGAGTGTTTGTTATTTGTGACGTTTAACCTGTGTAACTCGACTTTACAATCATC